CCTGGGGACTGGGGTCGAGGCTAAGCAGTGCCGCCGCCGCACAGCGGGCGAGCTCGAGTCCCTGCTGGCCGCCGGCGGATCTGATAAGGGCGTGCCAAGCGATAGCGCGGGGTGTGGCTGGCCGCGCAAGCCACAGATGCATGCACCGCTTGAATGCGACGGAGACAGCTTGCCCGTCAGTGGCATTGGGCCTTGGCGGGGCTTGCTGCTTGGTGAGCAAGGGACGAGCTGCCTCCCTCACAAGCACAAGCACACCCCAGCAGCAGCACCACCACCACATCAGAGCTCCAGTATCCCACAGACCTCTTCAATATCAGCGAGCAAACAACTGCACATACACTTGTCAAGCCATGGTACGCTCACCCCGTGGTGCTACCCCTCCCTTCCTTCCTGCACTCGTCTCCGGAATTAGATACTGATACTTGACAACCTTCTTTCCACAGGGTAGCGCACAATCTGGCTTGGGCGGTGGCCCACCCGGAGGAGATCCCAACAGAGACGGCAAGGACCAAAAGGTATGCTTACATACATGCAACTGCTCCCCCATCCTCCCACCACCAGCCGAATCTCATGGAACCGCCGGCATCTAGAAAGACAAGCCAAAGTACGAACCTCCGCCACCAACAACCCGAGTTGGCCGCAAGAAGAAGCGTCATGCACAGGGCCCAGACGCAGCATCAAAGCTCCCAAACGTTACGCCAAATTCAAGATGCAAGCTCAAGCTCCTACGTATGGAGCGTATCAAGGATCATCTCCTGCTCGAGGAGGAGTTTGTCCAGAACCAGGAGAATCTCCGTGGGGGTGGAAAAGGTGGGATGGAGGACCGAGCAGCGGAAGAGAGGGGTAGAGTTGATGAGTTCAGAGGGTCACCTATGGGGGTCGGTACCTTAGAAGAGATGATTGATGATGACCATGCGATCGTCAGTAGTACGACAGGGCCAGAGTGAGTTTCGTCGGCAATCTTGATGGGTGGTATTAGGCTAATGCGGGACAGATACTACGTCTCAATCATGTCTTTTGTAGACAAGGATCTCTTGGAGCCTGGATGCTCGGTACTACTCCACCATAAGACTGTCAGTATTGTTGGCGTCCTCACGGAAGATTCCGATCCTCTTATCTCGGTCATGAAGCTCGACAAGGCCCCAACAGAGTCATATGCCGATATCGGTGGCCTTGAGTCACAAATCCAGGAAGTCAGAGAGGCTGTAGAGCTTCCCCTGTTACATCCAGAGTTATACGAGGAGATGGGTATCAAGCCACCAAAGGGTGTCATTCTGTACGGATCTCCAGGAACTGGAAAGACGCTGTTGGCAAAGGCTGTTGCCAATCAAACAAGTGCCACATTTTTGAGGATTGTTGGTAGCGAGTTGATTCAAAAGTACCTCGGAGATGGTCCCAGATTGTGCAGACAAATTTTCCAGGTAGAATTTATTCCTACCTATTGCGCATATGAGTACTAACCGAAATTAGGTTGCTGCGGAACATGCCCCATCCATCGTTTTCATTGATGAAATCGACGCTATCGGAACAAAGCGATATGAGTCTACATCGGGTGGTGAACGTGAAGTTCAGCGAACCATGTTGGAGCTCCTTAATCAGCTTGACGGTTTTGATGATCGTGGAGATGTCAAGGTTATCATGGCTACCAACAAGATTGAGACCCTGGATCCTGCCCTTATCCGTCCCGGTCGTATTGACCGAAAAATTTTGTTCGAGAACCCCGATCAAAACACCAAGAGGAAGATCTTTACCCTCCACACAAGCAAGATGAGTGTTAGTGAGGATGTCGACTTGGAGGAGTTTATTGCGCAGAAGGATGATTTGAGTGGAGCGGATATTAAGGCTATATGTACAGAGGCAGGGTTGTTGGCCCTGAGAGAGAGGAGAATGCGTGTCCAGATGGCGGATTTCAGGGCTGCAAGGGAGAGAGTGCTCAAGACCAAGAGCGAGGGTGAGCCAGAAGGCCTGTATCTATAAGTTGTTGATTCGTAGACGATGGAGGTTACAAGTTATGCAAAGAATTAGCAGGTAATTGGTAGGACCGAGAGGGTTTTAATACATCTTGCATGATTGCATGAATACCAATCTGCAGTTTGGCACAGTGATAGCTTTATGAAAAGCGAACAAATGAATTGTAATGCTTTACAGTTGTCAATTTGTACCTGAAATCAGATGCAAGGGTTCAGGTTACTCTCACGTGCAAATATACCCCCCGCGCCAAGACCCCGACGTAATTGAGGCCAAGTCGCTCTGAACAGCACTCAAGCCCACAAGGGAAGCCAGCCTACCTATAACACCCTGCCTGTCTGCCCAACAAAACCGCACGCTCACACCCACAAGCTTCCAGCACCATCTCCACGACGGGCGACCCAGGGAATTTCGATATACACGCCTACAGAGCGGGAATAAAGTAAAACGCAGTCAATATAGGCAACCTACGATAAAAACAAATACACCCTGTTCAGGCCCTTGCACCACAGCTATGGCGCCTTCAATAACCTCCTCCAAGGTCACCCTGAAATACCCAATCTTCTGCGCCGACTTTTTCGACTCGGACGACACTGATGCCAGCAACAAATGGCCCCTTGCTGTTGCAGGCGGCGGCGGGCAAGGCCGCTCTGGCGTTGGTAACCGAATCGTATGTCCCAACCCTTCCCGTTCCGCTGCTGCCATCCCTGTGCTAATTGCTGAACATCTAGACCATCCTAGGGGATAACCTCCAATCTTTAAGCGAGGTTGAGCTCTCACGGGAGGAAGACTCGGTAATGTCACTTTGCACAACCCCCGATAACGGTGTCCTAGCTGGTATCAACTCTGCGAGCGAGAAGATCCTCAGCACCGGTGTGAATGAGCACCTCCGCGGCTTTCGGTACTTTCCCAAGAATGGAAAGCTTGAAGGGGAGATTTACAGGAGACAGGTATTTTCGAATTCGACCGTGAAGGTCAGGGATTCATACCAAAGGTTACTACGTCGAGCGAGGCGACGGGATGAGGGGCAGGTGGTGGCATTGGCAAGTGGCGGTGGCTCTGGAAAGGAGACTGTGAATGAGATTATCATTGGACGGATACACGACTCGATAAATCTCAGTGTGGTTGAGAGGGTCAATATGCCCCCTGGGTCGGAAGCCGTAGACATCGACATCATCGAGGAAGACGAGATGGAGCAAGAGAAAGAGCCGAAATATGCGCTAGCATACTGCCATCCCAAGGACATATTTCTACACAAAGCCGGAGCTTCGCAGAATATCTATACTGTTTCACCGCCGGCAGCTGGATCATTCAGGGCACTCAGACTACTCTCACCAACACTAGTAGTCGCAACACTCAATCTCCCCTCGCGTTCAGGCGCAGAGATTCTCCTCATCACACCAACGGAAACCCTCCTACGAAAGCCACTCCACAAGGGCATCAAGGCCGTCACAGCAATCGATGCATACCTTTTCCCCGGCGCCCGCCAAGCAGTAGTTGCAATTGCTGGCGCTGACATGGCCATCGAAATTGTCGCAATTGACCTTCCCACGCCTACCCGCGGCGCCCGTCTCCGCAGCGTAAAAATCATCAACAGCGTCCACCCCTTCCAAATCACGAAAGTTGCCATCGCCCAACCACGGAAGTTCCCCGGAGGATGGGAGACTCGGATAGCCACCACCTCCATTGGCCAGACAGTAGTGGTCTTTACAGTTCCCCTAATATCCCAAATCACATTACCCTCAACCGCTGCAACCACCTCCGAGGAGGAAGAGGAGGAGGCGCCAGAATCTCTATTCATCCTCCCCCCTCGCGGCGCAAAGCGTACGCTTGCAAAGTCCATCGCCGCTACTGCATCCACCGTCCTAATCTCCCTCGGTCTGGTCATCATCACCGCAATCATCCTCCAGATCGTATTTGTCTACCGCGGCGGCCTCCCCGACTCGGATATCTCTAGCATTCTCGTCAGAGGCCGCGAGATATGGCAGAACTACCTCCCTGATGCAGAGACCCAGGAGGTGTTGAGGGAGGTGAATCGCGAGCAGGAGGTGTTGATTGAGCACGAGCATGTCGATGGGAAGAGGCGGAAGAAGGCGGAGAAGGAGGTTGAGGATGTTGCTGAGGTTGTGAAGGACTTTGTGGCGGATGCGGCAGAGGTTGCGGGGGAGTGGGTTGTTGAGGAGAGTCGGAAGGTTGCTGGGGGGGTGGTGAAGGGGATGCTGAGAGGTGCAGTGGAGGATGTCGTGCAGAATATCATGAGGGTTTAGATGCTCTCATTTTTGAGGTGGGAGGAGATGTGTTTGGTGCATGTTTCTTGATTGGAGAAAAAGCCCCAGAATTGGAGTTTCCTTTGGGATAGCTTTGTTTATTTTTGTTTTGTTTTTTGGTGTGCTTTTAATTCATTACTCTTTTCTTCTTTCTGCTTCGTTGAAAACTGAACGTAGGTACGTACCGTCCTGCAGCTGTACATGTTTTTGGGGAGTACAGTTTTCTTTTGTTATTTTGGCTGCAATTTTTTTGTGCAACTCGAATTCGATTCCATCAGGACAAATGAATGCTATGTATGATGCCTTTGTTCTTACTTTGTACACACCACCGTAATTACTCATTCCCACCCTTACCCTCACATGGATATTCTCGTTTCCCCCAAGTACTTAATTGTGGTTGACTTTTTTGAATGCGAATGTAAAAGTAAATAATATTATATTAATATTTAAATTTATTTGGACGTACAAAGCTTAAGTGATTATGACTACCTATATATATTCTGTAGACCCGAGACCAAAAAAAACCGATAAGATCCTGGAGCGATTTGGGGTCGACGTCTATAAGCATCCTATAACGCTGACATATATTATTAGATAGAAGTATGTGTTCTTTTCCCCATCCTAGATCTTTATCTACGTATCTCAAGAGCCTATAGCGCTACTACCTATATATAGAGAAAGTATCGTGAGATACCTCATCCATGGCCATGGCTTTCAGCCGTAAACTGGCCAAATTGGAAAAAAAAAAAGAAAAAAAAGATAATGCGTCAAGGACAGGATTCGAACCTGCGCGTCCGAAGACATCCGCTTAACTGGGTATTCCTTGCTCTCAAGTAGACAGAAGGATACATAGCAGGCGAACCCGTTAACCACTCCGGCACCTTGACTGGTTGTTGTTGTGTGTGGGAGGGAATTGTAACAGTAGAAGGCTTTACGCTAATGGATGGCTTAGGGGATTTTGGCTGAAATACGTATGAGGTTTACGTATATTCCAGTGATAATCCGTGTGTTGTCATCGAGTGGGCGTGAAATGTATATGCGTAATGTCGGGGTACGAGAAGTTCACGATTTTTTTTCTGTAAGGCGAATAAATTTTGGGATATTGTTCTGTTCCCTGGGAATTCGAATGTGTATCTTAAATTCAACTTCGAATTCGTTGTAATAGCATGCGCGCTCCGGGAATTATTTATTATTTTATTTGATTGTATTTATATCGTAAATTATATATTGTAAGGATCCTTGCAGGTACCATAAATATGAGCTCTTGATGATGAGACTAGGACTAAGAAGGTAGTTGCGAGTTTCCCGATTGGGATAGTCTAATTCAGAGTTGAAGTTAGTCTCGTTGAAGTTGTTTTGTGTGAGAGCTCGTCCAACGAAAAACACGCCTACCACGAGGACAACATTAGCCTGCTCAGTGTAATCCAGCCTCGACCCGACCAAAACAGACCCGACCCCGGGTGTACCACCTTTCCCAACTTCAACGCCAATAGCAAAATCACGCTCTTCGGTTCACTCATCAAGAACTGCTCGGAATTTTCATATGCTCTGGGCTGTGAACAATGAATACACCAAGTCCCATAGCCACGAGATCCCTGAAGCCCCAGACAACTGAAGCAGCTGGTCTAAAGACCCCAAATATTGGGGCACTTATTGACCTGGCCTCGATTCTCAACCGCAATGTCCCTCTACGGGAGTCTGAAATGGAAAATAGCCCCACCCCAAAGACCCCTGTGGAGAAGAAAACGCGTCGGGTACTAGTATCAAAAGCGAGAACAGTATCCAGCACCGTGGCTGTTCAGCAAACTCCACACAAAGACCAGGAAACTCCACAAAACGACCTGTACCCCAACTTGGAAGCCATGGTGGAGGCCCAAAAAACCGCAGAACTAAAAGAGAGCAAACCACCGGTACCGCAACCGAACAATAACCTCGACACACAAAAAGGCAGACAACCATTGCATGTTGTGGAATTGTCAAGTGATAGCGAGAATGATGATGAAGATGATATTGAGCTTGGTGAAATCCCCATCACGGGTGAGTAAAAGCCTCCCATTACCAAGGGTGGCATAAGACTACAGCCAGTCCCTCTCTTCCTTTAGTAGCTGACATGATACATACTTGACACACAGCTATTACACAATTAACGCCAGCACAACAATCATACTTGTTGCGCAAAAGCCAATCCCCCGATCAACAAACAACCATTGTCAGCCCATACAAGCCAGTCACATTCCTCATCTTGGACCAAAGAACTGCTGCGGGACCCCCTCCAGAAGTCCGTGCTATCCAATGCTCTTTCTCATCAGAAGATATCACAATCTCTCAGCTCCGCACGGCGGTTGCAGCAAAGGTACTTGTGCCGCTGACGGTAAAGACGAGGTTCGTTTACAAGTTAGTGCTGGGAAGTCAGTCGCTGGCTAGCTCGATTCAGACTGTGAAGCTTCATATTCGTGATGAGAGTGATTTGGCGTTTGTGATCAGGTCATCTCTTGATAGTAAGAGGCAGTCAGATATGGGAGTGGAAGGGGCGGTTTTGATCGAGCTGGATGAGTGGTAGCGGGGCATCATATTTTCTATGGTTGATTCCTGGCGTGTGAACCGATCTTGAGTGATAAATTTTGAGTTATATATTCTCATTTGAACTGGAGGACGGTAACATCAATTGATGTATTATTGCCCGACCCTTAATAATCAGCTTGAAAACAAATGCTAAAGTTTGGTGTTTAAAAAAGTACGTAGGTAGGCTTGATGTAAATGCACAGGTATCTCTCGGTCCCCAAAGTATTCCTACAATGGGAGTTATCTGTAGTATCATGGCACTCGAGAACAGTCCTGCACTCGAGACAGACCTCGTGATGATATGGGGACGAGACTAACTCAGACGAGAACAACTAACTCGGGACTGGTACTAGTCCCCTCCCCAGACCCCAGGGGAGGGTCTGGGTACGAGACTACTTAAGTACTTCCCAGCCTCGTAGGGGGTAGAGTAGACTCGTAGCACTCGGTTAGTCTCGTGCCTATTGGGCGTTCCATAGATGATTACTAGAATAGGAAGTCAAAACTGCCAAGCCTCGCGCCCCACTCCCCAGGTCCTTTTAGGAATTTGCCTTGTAATTCAACTTCACCTCTCCACGTGCGGGAGACTAATCTCTATGATCCCTCCCCCATCTTCTTCCTCGGAATCATCCGAAACGAAATAAATAACTCTCATAGCAACGAGGTACGTATTTTATCCTAAGTGAGATAGAGATAGGAAATGACTCAAATGTAGTTTACAGCTCTGCCCCAACCATGGAATGGGAGACCCGCCCCAAATCGAGATCTGCCGCGCATTACGAGCGTGATTCAGTCAAAGATGAGACAACAGGGAGGGTGCTGAAAAGATCAGCGGAGGATACTGCACACAGTCCACTGGATGCACATGGCCGTAAAAGGTTCATGAGCACCAGGACTACTAGCCAGAGAGCGGATAGCGATGAAAGATTGAGTTCCAGTTCCAGGGCCCATGTCCCTGATTACGGTTGGTAGACCCTAAGATGGCTGGTATTCATTTACGAAAAATTCTGACATGCTTTTAATCAGGCTCATCCCGCTTCGCCCGGCAAGGTCAGTATTCAGGCCGTCAGATGTCTGCACCAGTTACCCAACAATACTCCAAGGGTAACCCTTCAGATTCCCCATCATATGGTTCCAAAATCAACGCATATGATGATACGCAGAGAACAAGAGAGCCTGTTTCAAAGAGGTACGACACTGGAATTTCTGGAAATGAATGTGGATTTCCTACTCGGCAGCAACAAGACGCCTACCACCATAGTGTCTTGAGAGGTGATCCCAATCTCACTACCGGGTGCTCAAAAACAAGGGACCTAAAGAGATCCGAGATAGCCCGAAATTCGAATTCTGCATCAACATTCCAGAACTCAAATACCATCTCCACTGCCGCCCCACTCACATTTTTGATCTTGGATCGAAGGCCTCAAGGAAGAAAAACAAGCTCTGGTTGCGTAGTGAATGGCTATACTCCAACCATCAATTCGATTCATCTCTCGATGAAAAGAGAAGACCTTAAACTGAACAACCTTCTCTGGGCAATGAACGACAAACTCAATGTCCCAATGTCACCCCTGACAAGACTTTCCCTCGAATACAACCTTGGCCATGGCGAGATTGGGAAACTTCCAGTTATGGACGATAGTGATCTCAAGTTTGCGATTGAGTTGACCTTTGCGAAGCCCCGAAAGCACATGGGCTTATCTGGAATTGTTTCCCTTTTGTTAGAGGATCACTAGACCATCTAGGAAATTTAGATGAAAATTCAAAGCCGTTTGCAATATTCCCAGCGCGAGATCTTCAGATGTTGCAACTGCTGATACATTGACCGTGGGATACGAGGTCTATGTTTTTTTCTTATTTCTTCATTATGGCGTTCATTGGCAATTTGCAAATGTTCTTTGTGTTCTTCCAGTCATTCTTTCATTCTTACTTTATTAATATGATATGGCACAGCCTACTCTCACAAGTCTCGCTGTCTAGTTACCACATATCACTAATCATCCGAAGTGCGTGTCAGCCTAGGATTTATTCCGTAAAAAACGGGCCATTAAGGCTTATTTTGCCTCACATGCTTACACACTAACACGAGGTGTGGTAGTGCCATTATTGACACTAGAACGCAGGCTTTATGATTCTATTCGAGTTCTTGCATCTTTATTGCGCAGGTACGCCTCCTGATCTACCCTGTTAAATCCCATTTGTACATACCTTGAGCTGACAGCACATTTTGCTTCTAGATATTGACCTGTGTATCTTACCCGAAGAGGCGCAATAAAGACAACCATGCGAATCACCTTGTTTACTTAAGCTCTTTGATGAAAAGATGCCCAGATAAAGGTGGCCAAGATATAGGCTTACTGTTTGTGAACTTATAGTTTAAATATTTACATTCTGCCGATAAGTACTATTGGGTACTCGTATCTCATATGCCGCATAAAACTAACCCTTGCTAATTCCAGAAGAATTCGAGAGAGGAGATCTATGCGGAATAGAAAATTAAGAAGAAAGAAAGAAGAAAGAATAAAAACACCAAGAAAAATAGGGCACATAAAACAAAAGCAGATCGAAACTCCGAAGCACACACTACCTAATACCATTGTTCACCTATCCTTCGCCTATCCATCGCATATTTCCCTTATTTCCTTACCCAAAAATCGTCATCTCTCAACCTGCAAAAATCACCGATGTGCTCCAATTAGACTCTCGTGTGACTGTGGTTCATACGCCGGCGAACCTTTCCTCCCCTCAACGTGCATTTCGTATGTCGGTTCACCTACAAGATGTCCTTCCAGCTCCGTCGGTTGCCACGCTCCCTGAAGTTCCCGTGGCGGCAATGGCTTGCCTTGCATTCCATAATGCTCCATGACTCCGGGTTCAGCCTCCCATTGTTGACGTGGAGTGTCAATTTCATGTACCAGCGGGTGTCGAGGCTGGAAGCTGAGCATAGCAGCAGTGGCTGGACGTTTTCTAGAGCGATACCAGAAAAAGGCCCACCCGAGTAGGGCGATAAAGAATAGACCACCGATGACCCCCCCTACAATTGCTCCCACTGGGACTTTCGAACTTGAATTATCTCCATTCCCACTTGGTTCGGTGGATTTTGGTGGTGTGGTGGCACCATTTGTGGGGGTGGTGGAGGTTCCATTTGGGAGAAGCATTGGGCTAAAGAGAGCTTCCAAGTTCTCGTTGGCGAAGCCGGATTGTGGCTTTTGAAACTTGGACCCTCCGTCAGCGCTATATGTTGTCAACATGAAGAACTTGCGGAAAAGGCACCCCAGGATACCGGATATGAAGGACAACTTACTTTCCACCAAGGACATAATAAAGA